ACCCAAAGAAGAGCTAAAAAGAGGGGCTTATCATCTCTATAACTTCAATCTTTGGTGCCAAAAACAAATAGCTACAAGGCAAAACAATACCATGTTTATATAACAACAAATTAAAATAATCTAGAGAGCTAAAACAATAGAAAAAACTCCTTAGTGGTTCCAAAACCTGGAAGAGGCAGTGCTGAAAAACAAATTTTCTCATAAGCTAGGTTCAAATAAAACCAAAGAAAAGAAAACTATCTTACAAAAAATCCAAAAAAAAAGGGTAATCAGATCAAGAAAAAACAACAAAATACTATTCTTAGGCAAAATACAAAAGAAACCTCTGAACTGAAAGATATATATAATAGAATAGAAAGAGGAAAATAAAGAGAATAAACTACCTAACAACTCTTTCACATCATGCTTAACAAGACCTTAAAAATAGAAGTGAGCGAAATAGAAGATGTAAGCCTTTGGATCAAAAGAAGAAGTAAGAGAGGCTAGGCCTTATTAATCAGCTTTAAATATCTTAAAAACCTAATATTACTAGTGAAAAAGAACTTGGAAGAAAAAGAGAAAACAGAAATAGTTCACACAATTCTCTCCAAAAGCTGGGAAACCTATCTGATTAAAAATATGATAGAAAATACAAGCAAACAACAGAAACTTACTCAGGTGTCAAAAGAAAATATTGTATACAAAGAAATAATATATTATACAGATAGCTCACTTGTAGGGGAAAAGATAGTAAATCATACAGCAGGGTATAAAGTTATTCAACTTGATTGTAAAGGGGCAATAGTTAGAGAACTTAAAGATAGAATTCAAGGGTGGTTTTCCTTAACTAGATCTGAACTTATAGCAATTCTTATAGCAACTCTAATATCTCTGAACAATAGTAAAATAGATATTTTTACAAATAGCCAGACAGCAATACAAGCAATTAAAAAAAGCCAAAAGTACTAGAAGCTGGTGCAAAATGAAGAATCCTTGTATTCTGAGTATAATAGTCAAAATCCTAGATATTAAAAAGTTAACTATTTAACTTCACAAAGTAAAAGTACATACTAGCAACTTGCTAAATAATCTAGCAGATAAAGTAGCAAAAAAAGCATACAAGAAAGAGAATTAACTTCTATTACTATAAATGAAACACAGGGAATAACACTTAGGCCAACCTGGAACAAGCACCCAATCAATACCCCAATCCAGAGCTTTATCAAAACATTTATACAAACTTTCCACAAAGTTGACTAGTTGCTCAAGTATTTAGATACTTTATAGTAACTGAGTGAGCCACATTCTAGTTTTTTGTTGTTAAAGGCATGATTTCTCTTGAAATAGTAGTAAATTATCAATAAAGCAGGGCATGTAACATAATTGTTAAAAAAAAAATTATAAATTTTATGTTCTTAGTTGGTTTTTAAAAGAGAATATAATTTTTAAATATAATGTTCTTAAATTTTTTAAATGTTTTTGAGAAAAATGAAAACATTAAATATCTAACACTTTTCATACTCTTTTGATGTTTCATGTTTATCTTTTTCAACTTGTATTTTTTTGGCAAAACAGCTATTGTTTTCCGTATCAGCTGGGTTTTTATAATGTTTGAATATCTTGCATTTTTTCTTCTTCTGTTTCTTGAAATTTCTTTTCCATAACCACTATCAGGAGGCAACTTCCCATTACCAACTAGATTTTGCTATTTTTTATCCTCATGCAGTACTTATTTATATGCCAGTATCAGGCTTACTTACAGGTCCTTTGAATAACTTCTAGCTTGTTAGAGATGAGTCTTCTTGCATTCTCTTTATTTAATAAATTCATCGGAAGTTTGTGGCACAGTTTGTTAGTTCCTTTAGCCAAATTTTCCAGCTGATACATTGGCTTTAATGCTTTGAATTTGGTATATCAGTCTAAGCAAGTACAAATTCTTTATAGTACTGGTTCATTAGTATCTCTGCTGATTCAACCTCTTTTCTTTTTAAATCTCACAGTTTACCACCAAAATTAGAAGGGCAAAATTAGTTGGTCAATTACTCAAACAGAAGATGGTTCACATAACCAGAAATTAGGCTATATTGGGTTAAAAAAGGCATGTTAGATTTGGATGAGTGGTTAATAAAAGAATGTATGTTGTTAATAGTTTATATTTATATAACTTAAATATTATGTAAATCAGAAACTGTTGTTTCCGAAAAGCCAGAAGGCCTTTATTTATAATTGTGAAGTAATCTATTTACATTCTTAGAATCATTTTGATCCTTACTATCATTGTGATCGGTAGTATAATTAATATTTATCATATCGGTAGGGATTGTTCTAATTGTACAGATCCTTCAGATCGAGATTATCAGTGGTATTGAGCCGATCAGTAATATCAGTGAAATCAGAAAATCAGGCCAGAAAGCCTAAATTTGGAAATACCCAGAATCACGAGGGCACATGCCTGTCTCAGGTCATGTTTCTGGCTTCACACCGTAATGCTGTAATGACTAATAACTACAGGTCATATATAGACAAGGATTATTTTTAAAAAAATAAAATGACCTAGTCATTTACCAACACTGATTGACAATGTGCGAGTACTTTAACAAGGGGGTAATATTTGCCAAAAATTATGGTAGCATTTTAGAATTACATCACTAAATCAACTATAATATAAATATATATATATAAACAAACTCCCAAGAGCAGGTGCATGACTTGTTCATAATAGAGGTTGGAACCAGTTTGAAATTCAAAAACCGAATTGAGCTGGCTTTAAACTGAATCTAAATCGGATTTTGTGAAACATGAATTTTTCATAATAAAATCGAATTTAAACTCAGTTTATCAGAGTTTTACAACCAAATTAGACTATAAAACTGATTTACTATTAAAACTGGTTGCTATTACAGTAAATCGAGTTACTATTAAAACCAGAATTTATACTCGAATTATACTAACCGGTTCTGACCTCTAGTTCATAATCTAATTTGTCTTGGAAAATCTGGAAAATATAGTGAATTCTTATAAATTATAGTTATTGTATGGGTATGTAATGAATAACCCAGTTATACATGGGTTCATATTCCGTGCCGAAGGCATGGGATTTAATATGAACCCGTGTGTATAGATGGGGGTAAAATTAAAATTCAATTTTAGAATATTTCAACTGTTGAAATTAAATTCAACCATTGAAACCGAATTTATTTTTAGTAGTTGAAATTAATTTAGTTATTAAAATTAATTCGACTGTTGAAATTAATTTAAATACCAAAATTAATTTAATCGTTGAAATTAATTCAACTGTCGAAATTAATTAACCGTCAAATTTAATATAACTACCATATAGCCGCAAAATAATGCCCATCTGCGCGTTAATTAATTGACCTGCGCGTTATTTCGAGCATGCCCATGTGCGTTATTTCGAATTAAGAGTTGGTTTTTTGAAAAGTACCCCTTAATCATAATAAGATTAAAAAAAATTGCGCCAGAACTAGGTAGGCACTAAGTAAACCTACTTGCTTCAATGAAAGAAACAATTTTTGCCAGGCTCGGAAGTAGGCTAACTTAGTATGAATCTAGTTCCGGAGCACTTTTTGTTTTCTTTACTTTTTATGTAGGCCATATTGAGATGCGTGTTAATTCGGAACACCCATGGGCGCTAATTAGAGACCGTATATGCTATTTTAGGGGGGCTTGATTTTCGAAATAACGCCTACGAGCGTTATTTCGCGGCTATACGGTATTTAAATTTATAAGTAGTTATTATTTTAAATACCTTTTAATCGCTAACATAAAAATCATTAATTAATGTACTTAAATTTAAATTATTCAAGTTTTTTGTATGATGTATAGTATGTAAGTATTGAGACAGCTTTATTAATTTGAATAATTTGATTAAGCCTATTTTCTTTATTTTGCACAATATGATGTGAATTATCTATCTTGCTAAACCCATGTCATGAAAATGAGTTTGTTGTTTAATTTTGAGTATTAATAAGATAATTTCGAACTTCTAAAGGAAATGCTTGTACATTTCTAATATGAGAATTTATTACTGCAGCAAAGCCAGATATAGGCTTATCAAGATTACAAAATATGCATTTGGCTTTAAGCCTTTTATTAGTTTTAACCGGATAAAAAGCTTACAAAGAGGGCCTAACGGATGGCCAGTAAAACCAACTGGAAGTTCACAGGCAAATATCGAATTTTTGTAAAGGCAACTTAACATTGTATATAAGTATGCTATTAATGTTCAAACAATCGATCTTTTTATTTAACTTAAAAATTTTGTATGAACATAATTTATATTTTATTTGTAATTGATATATGTAGTTTATTTGCAATCGATGACCCTTAAATTATGAAATATCTAAGGACTAAATTTTAGATATCACTTAGCATTAGCGAAGTATGTGTAAATATGAGATAATTTTTTCATAATATATTAGTAAATAATCATCGATCAGAATTACTTTTTTTTCAGCGAACCCGATCTTTGTTCTGGTTATATTGACCTACCCACCCTATTCCTGGGTTAGTTTTTGTAGGGTCTGGCTGGTCAGGGCGGCTGCCATGGTAAAAAGTTGAATTATGTAGTCAAGAGTATGTATTTCTTTATTTTGGTTTGATCGTTTTAAGAAAAGCTACTAATCTTTATTAATTTCGCTTTACTTTTTTATACTTTGACTCTACCCATTACATCATTAATTGATTACCCAATTTTGACTCTAAATTGATTACATACATTTCGTTATTTTACTAATCACCGATACTTTCATTATCATTATGCAAAAATCTTTGTCATCACGTGCATCACGTGTGCACAATTCGATTTTCCCCCCATTCAGTTATATTTTTTTCTATTTTTTTTTTTATTTTTTGTATATATATATATATTTTTTTTTTGATTTTACTAGCAAAACTAATTATAATCTTAAATCGATCCCTTTAAAATATATAACATACTCATTCCTACCGATAATACCATACAAGACAAGAAATTGGGTAGATCAAACTCTACTAAAATCTTAGGTTTCCTCATCTATTGATGCATTTCGCATCTGTATTCCTTGATTAACAAGTGCGTCAATGTCAAAGTCCTTTTCACTATGATCAATAACTTCATCTAGAATTAAAGGTTGATCCGTATTACCCAAAGCTTGATCCAGATTAATGCTATTTTCGATTTCTAACATACTAGAATCAACTTCAAATAAATCATTTGTGATAGAATTATCTTCAAGATTGTCTTCACTATCATCTTCAAAATCGTCTTCAGAATCATATAATTGAATATCTTCTTCAAGCATAGCAGTACCCGAAGTAAGTGAATGAGTATAGTTATGCATCAATTCTAAAAAGTCACTTTCTGAAAGATTTTGTCCAACACAATTGCATTTGTAACATAATATGCATGTAATTTGGCCATATTTGAAACTTTTTTTACGGTCAACCTTGGATAAATTAAAATTAATACAGTTACATATACGTAAAAATAAAAAATTATGCTACATATATATATAGTATATATAATATACGTAAACCAATTCAAAATGGAAAAAACACGCTCACATCCTGCGTTGTGAAAAGTAATTGCAAGAAGTAATAAAGTGAGTTTTTGAAGATGATAATGGGGCAGTTTACACGCGGACCACCAAACTTCTGGAATTATATGGAGGTAATCGAAAATCATAATTATGAATTTGTGCAATTAATTTTCACGCACTATTATCCCCTCCATCTAGTGACTTCCAAATAGTTAAAGCTCTTTGATAAATTTTTTGAAATGCTTCAGAAACTAAGCCTTTACCGTGATACTTGGGGTGAAGAAAATAAGCTAATAGATAAAAATCGATATCAAACTCTGCCCATCTTTTGTTGTAAAAAGAAATACATTTTTTTCAAAATTCAAGTCTTTCAAGAGTTGTATCCGTAAGTGGCATAGCTTTAATTATATTAGCCATTTTAATTAAAATTAAAAACACATCGGCAAACTTAATATTTAACGATTCAACAGTTTTAACGGCAATTTTAGCAGGTTCAAGAACTTTATGAAGACATTTAATATTGGCCCAAAACTCACGACTTGTAACATAGCCTCTTAATTTTTTATTAAGTGCACGAGGATCGTCTTCAATAATCTAACAAGGTAAATAAAAATAAAAGTAAAATAAATATTATTAAAACGAATATTATTAAATAAAATAATTATTATTAAAACGAATATTATTAAATAAAATAATTATTATTAAAACGAATATTATTAAATAAAATAAAATATTTACATTTCTTAGAACAGGTTCTAATTTTAAAACTGAATCGCAACAATCCCACGCCGAACACCATCTAGTTTTAACGGATAACTTTAAACCTCCACCTTTAATAAGTAAATTTTTAATCTCATCTCTTAATTGAGCACCAAGCATATGCGAATTTTGGAAGTAAATAACAAATTCTTGACATTTAGAGAGAACTTGAGACCCAAAAGAAGTTTTTTTTATAATATCTGCTGCTATTAATTGTATATGATGAGCGATACAACGAATTGGCATAATATGAGGATATTTTTGGGCTACAAGATTTTTTGCAAGCTGCATTGCAGTGGCGCCATCTGAAACCACAGCTCTGAATTTTTCTGGTCCAATTTCTTCAATTATTTCATTTAATAAAAAGCTTCCAGTATGTGAATAAGAAGAAAAATCTTGGACAGAATGAATATATTGATATCTGTCGGGAGTAATAATAACAAATGCATAATAGGAATGGTGTAATCCGCTTGTCCAACCGTCAAGAACTAATTTAATAACATATATTTATGCAATTAATATAAGTTATATAGCAGTTATTGTAGGGTTGTAAAAAATAACCAAATTTGCACGGGTTAAGTAAGTTACATGACCTTTGTTCATGTAACTTAACCCGTGCAAATTTAAATGTACAATCCCATGCCAAAGTAAATAAAAAAAGCACGGGTTGTTATCTAAGACCCGTGCAATAATATGATATTATTTTTATATTAAAAATAAATTTATCTAAAGTTAAATTTTTAAGCCATTTAAGCTGTTCGTTTGTATTTATTGTAATTCGAGCAGTTTCTTGATTAACCCAAAGGTTACTTAAAGTTCTTCGACTAGGAGGCTTATAACCCACATTAAGATTTTTAAGTAGATCAATAAAAAAAAGACTTTCAACAATCCAAAAAGGAATTCTACAACAAGTAAAGAAGCGAGTTAAAGCTTTGTTAATAAGATTTTCTTGACTTTGATCTATATGGGTTGATTGAAATTTGTCAGTAATTTTGGATTGAATTTCAATTTTCATCTTCTTTTTTGAAGATTTAGAATTTGTTATAATATGTAAATATTTTTTTTTAATATCTCCTGGTACGTCTTTGCATTCTAATGCTAAATGTGATTTCTCACTAGGCTGTCCTCGTTGTGCAATTTCTTTACAGTATTTACACTTAATCGCTACATGCCCATGTTTATCTCGTATTCCAAGTTTAATATACTCTTTATTTACAGGATCCTCAGGCCTGCCAACTGATTTTTTAACCTTTGCTTTTTTTCTTTTTTTATTATAACTATATTCAATAATACTTTCATCGCTAGCAGATTCTTCAGAACTATCTATTCTACTAGCTTCGGGAATTTGGCCATCATTATTATTTTTATTTTGGCTATTGCTTTTTGAAATAGCATCCGATATTTGAAAAAATATAACAATAATTAGCACTTTGATATGATAAATTTCAAAATTATATACGTATATATACAAAAAATGTAACATGTTAATATTTAACTTTATTATTCGTATATATTATATTAACTGGAGTACTTTCAATTAGTCTATGGTAAAATGTAAAATCGTACACATAATTAATACTATATGCTAGACTAAAAAAAGAACAAAAAAATAAAGTTCTGATAATAATACCCACGCACCTTGCAAATTTGAATAATCTTCTGATTATATCGATATATTAGGATAACCAGTTCCATGTATAAGTAACTTCGTTTCCATGGATCAGGATATTATTACTAATTCTTTATATGCACACATATATATATAGTTATAATGCCTCAGGTTACGACCCAAATCTTTCTTAACTTGTGATATTACTACACAGTTTGAATTTGGAAATAAGAAATTCGAAGCCAAAACTTAAACCCAATTATGTCAAACTTAGAACCAATTAAATTTATTAAATTTGAGCACAAGTAAATACGTATTAATTTGGAAATCGAATTTAGAAGCAATAATTAGAGATAGAATTAAAAACTTACTTGTGCAATTAATAAGTTCTCAAGCTGAAACTAGATTTGAACAAGATTATCACATTTAGTATAGCGTTGAAGTATATGCGATATTTTGATTATTTTAAATTTATTTCAGGTTGGGGACACAATTTATGCAATAAGAATTTGTGCGGTATATATAAGATATATTCAATTTACTGATTAAAAGTGTGATTGATATTACTAAGCGAAAAAAAAAAGTTTAATTAATTATTTGTTTGATTTAATCATTATTAAAGAAAATAAAAGCTTTAAAGCGTATCATAGATAATTTATATCAGATACAGGTACTTACATTATTTTTATTGTGGTCTTAAGTTTTTGTATACATTAGGCTAATAGCTTGATTTCTCTAGTTTGTATTCTAGATTATGGCATTTTGTTGATTTTACTGATTTTAATTATCGATTGTTTGAAAATCTAGTCATAGCTTTTGTAGACTTGGTTAGTGGGGTGATTCATAATTAACTTATTTTGAAAATGAGTGGGGTACAAAATGACCTATTACTGTTTTGAAATTTTGAAATTAGAAAAAGAAATAGGAGCTATCCGAAGATAAATTGTGTATCCTTTTTTTGATGATTTATTGTTATTATATGATATTATTGTCTCCCAAAAAAACTTTAAACAAGTAACTAAAGAAGAGAACTTGATAGTTTTTTAACGAATAGTAGAATATCAATCTAATTCAATTGTTTCCAACTTTAGCAGAGATAGTGCCTGATTCAAAGTGAATGTCTCTCGCCTGTGATCAATTACAAATTAAATTATTTATGTTGGACTCAATTGTGATGGATATAATCCCTCACCGGTTTTAATATATATACAACATTAATGTAGTTTCCAACAGTTCATCGATTTCTTTTTCGAGAATATTAGCTATATTAGCTATATTTTTATAAGTATCATTAGAATATTATTTCTAAAATACGATTTATGTTTTTAATATGTAATTATCGATCAGAAATATAAGGCATTTTGAAATAAAATATCAAGTATTGAAAGAAAAGATTTAAGAACCGCTGACTTCGAAGAAATAAATGTATCACTAATTTAATTCGAAAGCAGAAACCTGAACCTTAATTCTGAATCACCCCAGTGTTTTGAATTTTTTCTAATTTATTAGATGTGCATGAATATAAAAACAACTAACTCTTAAATTTTATACACGTAAAATACTATTAAAATTCAAGTTACTATCCTGATTCAGTAGATTAAAGTTCGTTAATATCTATATACTTCAGTATATGCAATGCATAAACAAGATTATTCCTTTACATATATTTTTATAATTATAGTTCGTAAATATCGAATTGATAGATTAATTGATAATTATATTTTAACATTCGTGAGAATTAAATTAATGGATTAATTTATTTTAGAGCTCTTAATTTATATTTATAAATCAAACTAAAAGTAAAGTATATTTGTATGAAAACACAATATACAGTATAGTAATCGAAACTACTTATAGAATATCTATTTTTTTAAGAGCATATTTCAAATATGTATAATATAATTTTTTGTATATAAATTAATTTTTACAATTTAATATATTTCAACTATTAATATAATTTTTACATATAAATTAATTTCTACATTTTAATAAATTTCAACTATCAAAATAATTTTTGTATATAAATTAATTTCTACATTTTAATAAATTTCAACTGTTTAAATTTAATTCGGCATCTTGTTTTTAAAAAATCTTTGGTGAAATTATTTTAATAATTTCAACCGTGGAAATTATATAATTTCACCCCCATCTATACCCGTGTGTGTAACTGGGTTATTGTACGGTGTCTGACGTAACAATCCCGTGCCAATAAGTAAATGAAAAAAGCACGGTTGTCACATAAGACCCGTACAATAACATATGATCTACAACAGTTCATACTATCGCTGTAATTCGACATGATTTAAGAATATAGATCTCAAATAATTAAGAACAGACACACCCGTAATGGCTAGTAATTATTATATTTTAAAATTTTGATACATTCAATAAACTTCCACACTATCGCTATAGAATTTTCACATAACAATAAGCATAACATATGAAATATGCTATAATCAGATAAATAAAAATCATTACTAAAAAGGCTAGTGAGCATTAAAAGGATTGAACAGAACTTGTTTGAAATCATGAGCCATGCACTTATGTAAAGTGTTAGTTCTAACCAATCAAATACTTTGGTACGGACAGGACAGTCACGGCACAGGGTAATTTTAATATATTTTGATTGGTCAAATTATTTCGTCAAGAGTTTCATCAATTGTCAGTGACAAAACCATTTCATTATGCAAAATAGTTTTTTCAGGCATTATTAATTTCCACCCAGATGAAAATAGAATCTCTCCAATTTATATATTGATTACCTTAGAATTTGTAATTACGTATCAAATGAATTTATATTGTTGATTACATTAGAACTTGTAATTGTCAAATGAACCCGAATAATTTATCAAATTATTCAGTTATTCATCTATTAATTAACTTTAACCAATTATCTATTAGACTTTGAATATCTAATAGATAAACAATAGATGGTTTATGGACGAGAACACTATATATGTTTAACTATATAATATATGTTACTAAAAAAATTAGATAAGTGTACAATGTTTTGCTTATTATATTAGTTATTCCTTAAATGCATTTTGTTAGAAGTTTGAACTTTACAGGTTTATTTAGAAAAATCTGTTTATACTTTGTAATATTACATTTCAATATTATCTAAATATAAAATGTTTTTTTAAGATTTAAATATAAAATTGTTATCTAAATATAAAATTGTTTTTAATAAATACGTAATTTGGAAAACCAATATAAAAAACTTCCAAAAAGTTTAATAACAGCTAAACAAGTTGTGAACGAAAAAATAATTTCAATGTATACTATATTATTGCCAAAATATTTGAAATTATTATATTGATAATCACTATATTCAAAAATAAAATAATTAATAATGTATATAAAATATTGCTTATAAACCACAATATTATACACCATGGTGTAAAAACGTTTAAAGAATAATCATGAATATTATACTTTTGTTCCATTTTTATCCTTTATAATTATTTCATTCCAAGCCTTATTATACGCATCATCAATAGTAATTTTACAAGGCAATGAAACTTCAACAATATTTTTTCCAAATGTATTTGTAAAAGAGTTGACATCTGTGATTTCGACTAAACTATTTGCTTCCCAACTAGAGCTGTGTTAAAAATAAATTAGTTTTATTTATAACATAATTAAAAATAAATTAATAAATTTTAATTAATATTACCTTCTGTTAATATTACAAAAAGCATAAATATTTAAGCCATTGATATAAAATGGTAAAAATAAAATATATTGTAAAAAACAAATAAAACAGTTGAATATATGCCATGGATTTGATATTATTAAGCTTGCATCAAAACATAAAACAGCCATAGAAATTAAAATTAAGAAATTATGTTTAAATATATCAGTAACTGCTATTTTCCCATATGGATCATTAAGATCATTATGATTATAGTTACCATTAGAAATATATGTATAATTAGGAGTAATACTATTATTATAAAAATATTCAATGTAAGTATAATAAGTACTATTTGGATAATAATAAGTTAGATTATAGCTATAGGTTCCATCATAGTATATAGTGCTAGTATTATAAGGAGGGTTGTAATAATACTTATTAATAATAAAAGTACTATTATCTGTATAACAATAACAATAATAATCAAAGGTATCAGAATAATAACTGCCATTTCCATAGCGAAAAAAATGTATAGTGTTATTATTAGTGTAATAAGAATAGCTAAATATAAACCCATGAATTATAAACCAAAAAATATTGATTAACAAATAAATAGAGATGATAATCGAAAACATTAATGGAATAAATTCACGCCACTTAATACTATTAAATAATAATACAAATATTAGTTTAATATAATAATATAATAGCAACATATTAAACTTACTTTTGAGGTTTGTTGACAATTGCAAAAATAAATTGCATGCCAGTAATTGCAATATAAATATAAAATAAAATGAAACCAGTTGGATAAAAATAAATTGGAAAAGGGTCTTCATTAGAATGATACTCTTCAAAAGAAAAAAAACATAATATAGATAGAATAATAAACAAAATCGAACAAAAAATGCCCTAGAAAAAACAATAAATTAATATCATCGAATGAATAAAACAAATACCACATAGGTCTTATATTTACCAAAGCAAACCATGAAAGAAGGAAATGTAAAATTTGATCTATAATTTAAATTTGTAGACAGATTTTACGGAGAATTGAATGCCCACTTCTCCAAATGTAAAAGAAATGCATTATCGCATAAGAGCTAGTGTAATAATATTCATTAAATTTGCAAACATATTGCTGAAACATTTCAGGCAAATTTTCAGGTACATCTACTTCAGCTTGGGATGAATTTTCATAGTGCAATATCCAAGAAGAATTACGCTTAGAAATCAGTTCAAAACAAATAACATCGTTATTGGCAAAATAATCATTCATAGCAAGAATATTGTTATTGGATGCATCTTCAGTGTCATTTGTAATATTCTGAAAAGCAGAATATCGATATGCAGAGAAGTCCTTAGATAAAGAGGAAATGTAGCCAAAGATTGATTCGAATGGTTTGTTAATAATGTTAGATATTTTATGCTCAAAAACCAGGGCACTAGTGATTGGATTTAACAATTTGGTCCAGCCTCTATTGTTAACATATAATTTACCACAAGTACCCGCAACTTGATCATTTGAAAATACTTTCCACAAATGATAAATAGATTTATCGACTTAGGGTGTTCTCAAGCACCTACCTCAATGGACTCAATAACGAATCTGATTGGTCAGTTTAATCAAACTAACCAATCAAATTTCTTATTGAATTCATTGAGGTGGGTGCTTGAGAACGCCCTTAAATAAATATAAATTAAAAATTAAAATCATAATTTTTTCATAAGGTACACATACTAACTTTCGAGTACTAATCTATTTTCGTAAATTATACATTTCATCCATTTTATTGCTGGCCAATTGATTAATTTGACATAAAATAAACTTTAGCTATTTTTATGTACAAATTAATTAATTCGCTACATTATAAACATGTGAAGTTAATCCACGGAAATAGGATGAAAAATAGTTATGTATACCTTTGGTTGCAATAGATTAGACGGTAAGTGGCAATTCATGATATTTTGGTTCATTCAGTTTTTTTTTTTTTTACTATAAATAGTCTGAATTAAATAGATTATGCAAATTATGCAGATTACCCTTATTGTATATAGGTTTAACTATTAATGCCACTGATCGAGTAATCAACTAGATATGAAATTATATTCTAACCTGGTCTGACACCAACTTTAATGAGAACAAATATGTTTGGGTTAAGGATTGGACAAAAGGCATTAAAAAACCACTTGTGAGAACCGATTTTTCCTTTGTTCTTTTCTTTAAGACAAAAGAGCATTTGAGCTGGAATAATTGTTTTCTTATCTACGAAATTCTTAGAGCATTTAATTGAAATCTGAGTTGTATATTCATATATATGAGCCCTGACAGTTTTATTATTCACTTTTGAACTTGCAATGCCATCTTGATAGACTTAAATATTTATGCTTTTTGTAATATTAACAGAAGGTAATATTAATTAAAATTTATTAATTTATTTTTAATTATGT